CTAACAGGAGCTCGACCAAGTTTTCGTCATGCTCAAACCCGACCTCGGCACCAGAGGCCGTTGACTCTTCCACTACGTGGAGAATGAGCGACCTGTCAGAGAGATCAGATTTGCTTGTCGTGGCTTTCTTGTTCTGCGGCGTAAGTGTCTTTCTGTCTTTCGTGGGCAGTGTAGCCGATGTGTCGTCCTTATCTCGCTTTTTGCGAGAGACTGCATTACGCCATTCATTTGCGTCCTCCTCACTAGTCGTAGTCGATTTTATCTGCCTGCTACCAGCCAGTGTGGATGAGCCTTGATCTACCAGTCCCTGGGCGACTTGAGTTGCAGGTGTTAGACACTCGGTGTTTTTATCTTTTAAAATTTTATTATAGCTTGATTCTACACAGTATTTTTGGTACAAGTATGAAATTTTCAGCATGCAATATCGGTAGCCCAAATTTAGCAGGCTGACCATAGATATCAGGTGTGCGTCGGCGGGGGATCGAACCTCGGACCCTGTGCATGGTCGGCGAGAGTCCTAACCGCTGTGCCACCGACGCCTCTTCTTCGTGCCAGTATTTCCGTTACTGTCACTGGAGGGCTTATCCGGTGTCGTGGGGACAGCATAGGTGTCTGGAATATAATGGGTGCTCTTCTGTGCTGAAGGGCACTCACTCATTGACAGAGACGCATCAGGAACATGTACTGTTTTGTCAATGACGCCAGTCACGTCTTCGGTGTCTGAGCAGTAGTCTGTTTTCTCCTGTGGTGGAAGACCATTGAAGTCCATGAGTTTTAGAGCCCCACTGAGAATGACAATGGCTTCTGTTACACGAAACTTGGTAGTATTACAGCAGTCACTGCACAACCGTTTCGCCAGAGGTTTGCAGCAGCGCTTGTATGCTGCAGGAGTCTGGTTCGTGCACATGCTATGAAACCATCTCTCGCAGTTACCACACTGCAATCCCTCATCCACTGGAAATTGGCACATCACCCTTCCACAGTGGTTCCTTTTGATCGGCATGCTATTTTCGGCGAATTAGGGAAAAACGATTTAATAATAATAATAGTATATGCTCATTTTTGTACATGAGGGACGCCAGTTTACAGGCATCATCAATTCGATAAATTACACATACGAATAGTGAGTATAGTCAGTAATGATAATATAATAAGGTACATAATTATTCCTACAAATGCAGGACACAAAAGTTGTAAAGCCATGGATAAGTATTATTTAAGTTACCTATTTAAATTACATGATTTACGGTTAAATAACATAAGTGCCGTCATTTTATCTTCATTTTGTGGGAAAAATCGGATAACTGGTGATTCAATGGAACACACCAAGAAATATAGAGATATTGACTTCGCATTAACAAAACAAAAAACCCAAGTATGCGTTGGATGGATTACAGATACTTGGGAAAATAAATAAAGCTTGAAGTCAAGTCCCTCATAAACCAATAAAATGCGTCTTACAATAATATATTCCCTCTTTACGCACATGAATAAATAAATAAATTCATTCTCATAGTACAGTACATGAGGGACGCCAGTTTACAGGCATCATCAAACTGTTACAGAAATAGAACCATATAATTCAATCAAAATTTACACTCTGCAACAAGATATGCTTTACATGTCCGCTGAAGATAATACATACACTTGATAAATGTTAATCCCAGCAGTATAAAACAACCTTTTCACTTATATACAATCATTTCTGTGCACAGTTGGAAAAATCTGCTAGATCGTCAGTGAGTGCAACACAACAGGAAATACAGAAGTATCGTCTTCGCGTTAACAAAAAAACCAGGTCTTTGGTGGATGGATTATAAGTGCCTGGGAAAAAAAATAAAGCTTGAAGTCAATATTCATACATAACTTCGTTGTGTGCAGAATCCTTGAATTATAGTTCATTGAGGTGTTATTTTGAAATCAGTGATATGTTTATCTCATTTCATCTGCAATGTCATTGTTGGGAGTAAATACATAAGCTTCAGACGCATTAATTAATGGATTTCTACTGCTTGTGGGTATTTTCTTAGCGTGAGGAAGGTTTATGAAATTCAGCTGTTCCGACAGGAGTTGAGAGTATTAACTGCTCAGCAACATTATGGATATAAGTTCATCACATTATCTAAGGAAAGGTGGGTTGCAGTTGGTGAGGGATATATGGTGCCCAACGAGCGTTCATCTGTCCATGTGATGTTGTGGTGAGTTATACCTTTTTCATGTTGTCGGTTTATGTCCATTTTATTCCACTTATTGTGTTGGGTAGAAGTTTTAGAAACGAGATTTCTTGTCTGTTTGAGGATACGTATCTTAACCGTTAAGGTTTTATCTAGAATTATAAATACAGGCAAAAACAACAGGTGTAGTATTTAAGCTTATACATTAAATGGACCTATAATTTCGGAGGCTCTCAGATAGGAACTAGAACTACTATCGTTTGCAAACTCTTGTAGTTTGTCATTAAGCACCTTTTTGAAGGAGGCCAATGTACTTGCTTAACGCATTTCCATTGGCAGTTTATTCCATATCTGTGCATACCTAATCAAGTAAAACTTTTGCCTGGTGGCTGTTTTACATTGTTCGATAGCTACTGTACCCTTAGTGTGTCTTAGTTTGTAGCCATTGTCATCTGAAAGTCGAGTGCCATTAGTAGAGGTAAAAACTAAGTGGTTTAGAAGCTTATAGTAAAGTGTTAAGTTTAGTCTCAGGCGTCTTAGCCATAGTGTTTCTAGTCCTAGGGTATCACATCTAGTGGAGTAGTTCGCACCATTTTCGGTTCCGAGTAATTTTAACGTGAAGTACCTCTGCACTCCCTCGACTTTCAATTTGTCCTCTATGCGTATACTACTATGCACGAATGAACAGTAATCAAATAAAGGATGCACACAAACCTTGTACAAAAGAATTCTAGACTCATTTCTGTAGAAGTTCCTGAGTAGAAAGCCGATAAGTCTGCGTGACTTTGACACTTGTTTGGAGATATGTTCAGAAAATGATAAGTTATGTGAATATTTCAGCCCTAAACAATAGCGTATAAAATTCACTCCCTTTTCGAAGTTCGCGATACAAGCCTATGTCAGCAAATCTTATCAGTTATCTGCGCTCGAAATAATAATAATTTATATTTCGTACAAACGAGGAAGTTTACAAGAAATGCATGCCATTTTTAAAGACATGATCAGTAACGCTATAAATTACAATCCTGAAGTATCATAAATTAATACTTTTTCAAAAGTTTGAATTGTTCAATTATTGTACAAGCAATCAGAACACCTTCTTATAAATGTTAAATTGTAACCCGTTTACTAAGGTCGCCATCGAAGTTCGTTCCATTTCCTGCTGATCGTTACTGTCAGCCAGTGAACAGCGTATATCTGGGTGGGTGCTATACCGCCACGTGATTGAACGCTATTTCAGGAAGAGGAGAAAATTCCGCGCAGCTGCAAAATGGTATCAAATGCGATTATGAATAATACATTATTGGAAGTATATTTACAAGATAAATACGAGGAGAAGCTATATATTACTTGAAATGATAGTTTACATTTGCAATGTTAAATGCTAACCATATTGATCTAAGCATGGAAACTATCACGTTTCCGATGAAAATATAGCTTTGTTCAAACATTGGTGTTGTTGTGTTTTTCATCAAGGCGACCAGACCTAAAGCAAGCAACAAATATGAATAAAGAGAAAGTTTTAGCTTTAATAATGGTAGTCAACATAAAAGAGAGTATAATAGTGCGTAAATGAAAAGATTATTGTGAAGTGGGTAAGTGATATTTAAGTGAGGAGTGAATTCAGAGATCTTGAAAATTAGTCACCGTAGAACAAGCTGGCCTGTAAGATGTCTCACGAATTTCTGTAGGGCCCTCGTGGTGGCATCTTGACAAGAAGCTGGATAGGCTTGTAGATGGTATTTTCATTTTTTTTGATTGTAGCTTGAAACCACACGGTACTTTTGGTACAAGTATGGAATTTTCAGCATGTAGATGATAGGAGCAAAAGCACGTTTCTATTTATAATTTATTTTTTGTTATTGAGGGTCCAAACTAATGTTTAAGTATCGAGCTGTCAGAAAGTGGATGTTGCTGTTTTACGGATCGGAGCGATTCACATTTGTGACCACTACCATATCTGCTGATCAGCATGTGCCCCCTCCCTCGTTTTATGATGTTAGGCTCTCAGATTTTTTCTTTGTAAAACGTAGTTGCAGTATTGCATTGCTTCAAGCCCGTCCCAATCATACAGTATGCTGCACATTAATAGCCTTCATGAGATGCGTTTCACTTTAGGTCAGGAAATTAAGTTTTCATCTAAAATTTATTAAGTATTGAAGCATTGAGTATCTCACGTCTTCTTTATAAGATGATGGGACATATAAATCTCTTCCCATTATCACACCGAAGAAGAACTAGTGATTTAATTTTGATATATGTACTAAAGGATGATTTGGGTGTTGACTTTACTATGCTATTCGGTTCCCCCTAGGATACATTTACGAAGGTCCCATAAAAAGATGCTCAAACCACGGGCGAATAAGATACATGTGGAATTTGGATTTTATTATTGAGTGCTTGACGGCTGGTACTCACTTCCCGATCACGTAGTACCATTTCCACCGGTGAGCGCTTTCAAAGAAAAGTTGAATATTTGCAGAAATATATATACTGCAACGATTAACACAAGCCACGACAGTCTTCTAACTGAATTTGAATCTCTTCTCTCTTGTTGAAATATATTTGTCCTATTCCGCTTCGATTTAATTCTCCGATTTTAGGTGAGAGTGATTTGGCCAGTCTGAAAGATTGATTTGATGTTACGAGTCCGAATCCAGCAGTGACATTTTCCGGAACAAATAATATACTTTCACACTCAACAAATCTGAATTTATTAGTCAGCACATTTGCAACAGGTTATTAGATAGATTTCCTGCATCGCGATCCACCATGAATCTACATATGTTCCTTAACATTCAGTAGGAGGCTCACAGAACAGTATCATTTAACAGACATGCGGCTCATTGGAATATTGAAAAGTAGCGGTAATTTTTTGACTTACGCTACTGCAAGTGTAAGTGGGTAGTTGTTCATGTGAAGATTATGTAGATGTTTATTCCGATTTTTAAAATGACATAGTAAACTACTGTTATCAGGTTCCTTTAATGTTACTTTTGACTCTATTCCGCCTTCTGTTTGTATTTACAATAAATAAACAATAGCCTATATTGTCTTATATTAATTTGAATTCGATAGCTTTTGCAGTGATGCAGCATCACCAACACTTCAAAGCACACGTGAAATCACAATGTAGTGTCATAAATAATCTGTAAGAGTTTAATATCACATCCGTTTAAAACTACTTCCGGTGTTTATTGTAGAAAATTTTCTCCAAAATTAACATGTATTGGGCAGTTATGATGTTTTGCAGCTTACTCCTTAAATCCCTTCATTAATCTGTCTTGAAATCACGCCTCGAAACCTAACTAATAGCCACACAATTTTTTAATTGGCTTCGTATGAAAACTGCGAACAGTTACTTCTGAATTTCTATCCTAAATTCATCGTGCGTTTTCTTTGGTCTTATAGTCTATTGCCGGGTCGATGAAGCAAGCGTAAACATTATGTATAAAGTCCAGCATCTCTTGTTTATCACCCACAGCTCAAGAAGTATAGGCAGTTATAGGGGAGAATTTTAGAAGTGTCAGTTATATGGCTGCTTCATCTGATTTAGCCCTGGAACTTTGTGACTAATTCGTCTTACAATATAGCCAGCCAAACTTTGATAATTTAGTCTCCATTTTATGTGGAATTTCGTGAATAACTCTTCTTGTTTTTGTAAAGAAAAAGGATATGCCTTCTGGATATTATATTCATCAAAAAATTGCCAACTGCAAAAGAATTAGATTTTCATGAATGCTCAGAGGAAAACGTTTGCCAAAAAGCATAAAAAATTCTAAAAATTTAAACTGCAAAGTGTTATCAATTCTTTCCAGTTGATTGTAAATATTTTCAAAAGAATGGTTACTGAACAATGAATATTCTTTTCGACAACTTCATCATAATGTTGTACAGCTATATCTAAATAATAGTGAATGAATTAGTATTATTAAATATGTTTTCTAGACTACAAATAGAGAGCTGACTGACTGGTTTCAACATAGAACTTTGCACAGATGTGCAGTAGTTTAAGTCGCCACACTCCATGTAGCACACAAAGCAAGAGAAGAGAGTAAAAAGAAGTGCAAAACAGAGATATGAGGCAAAAGGAATAGTAATAACGAAGAACAATATAGTTTCATTGGGTATTATTAGTCACAAGGAGTGAATGTATCTGCGCCAGCCATTGAGAACGACTTTAAGCTATCCATATCACCAATCGTCTTCAGCCATTCGTGTTTACCGTCTCGAGAACCCCAACCAGCCAGTCAGGAGTGTACACTTTCCTACGTGTCTGGCTTAAACTGACTGTTGTGGGTTTCATTGACTGATAAAGCTATGTTTTAGTTTGACAACCACTAACTAGCTCTTTTCCAACCTTATAGTTCCTATGTCAGTTAACATTGCCCATTGTCGATGAAGGCGATGTCTAGGCATACGTAACACATGTCCTAACCATCTCAGTCGATGTAGCTTCATAGCCTCATTGATTGATTTCCCCTACTTACCAACTAGCACTCGACCGACGCCTAACCTCAGTATTGCTTGCCCTATTATACCATTTCACACGGGAGATAGAACGCAGGCACCTATGACCAAAGACAGCTGGTCAAGCTTTTCGTGTCTTCCACTTTCAATGGCCATATCTCACAGCCAGGCATAAAGGAGAACCGAGTGAACAGCTGAGCAGTAAACACTCCCTTTGGTCGACAGCTAGCCGGACATCACGCCTACACCAGAGACGGCATATAACTAAATCTACCTTTCAACCCTATCGCTATTTCCGAAACCACATCTGTGTTCATGCCTTTAGGGTGCCAAAAACTGAACTTTTTCGATCCCACTCAACTAACTTTTTCCTTTTTTTCACCATTTAAGATGTATTGACCTACAGTGTGATAAATCACTTAATCAATCAATCAACAATCAATCCATCTATCGATCGATCGATTAATCGGAGAGAAGTAAAAAGAAAACATCTCTACAACTCTTGTCGAATATTCTACTTGCCATGCTTAATGGGTAATACTATTGCTCCAAGGTTAGAAAACGCTGAAAAAACTGGTGTTTTACAAGTGAGCAATTTAAAATTGAAAAAGGTAAGTTGATCAAATCAATCAAAATTAAATAAAGTCAACACTGAATAAATAGATTCCTGAAGAAGTGAAACGCCTTCGTAATCTACGAAGTTTAGATTTATCAAATAATAAAATTGAAGTGATTGATTCATGGATATCTGTATTGAAAGGTTTAAAAGTTTTAAATCTTGAAAATAATAGATTGAGTAAGTCTTCATGAGCGTTTGTCACTATTATTATTATTATTATTATTATTATTATTGTTGTCATTTCTTGCCATTCTAATAACCTTATATTGATATTCAAGTGTTGGTTTGTGGGGATTTGATTGGTTACAGGATTTTCATCATGAGCTGACATTAGTTAGAGAACCATTGGAAAACCTGGGAGTACTGGGCAGCTGTTTCGTCCTAGTTTGGGATTCTTCATCAGTACGCACCCACCGGGATTCGAACCCAGGACCTTATGGTTACAAGGCGAGATAGCTCGTATACCATTCAGCCAATGGGACCCGATCCAATGGCCAGTCCATGAATCCTAACTTCTGCCAATTCACGATATAGCGTCACCCCTAGCCAATGTCTTCGGCGAGTATTTGTCCTCACACACACACACACACCGGGAGTTCTAGTGAGAAGTCGTGACCAGTAGGGTGCAGCAGGTCGGGTGTGAGGAAAAATACTCGCCGAAGACATTGGCTAGCGGTTGCGCTATATCGTGAATTGGCAGAAGTTAGAATTCATGGGCCATTGGATTGGGTCCCAGTGGCTGAATGGTATACGAGCTCACCTTGTAACCAGAAGGTCCTGGGTTCGCATCCCGGTGGGTGCGAACTGATGAAGAGTCCCAAACTAGGACGAAACAGCTGTCCAGTACTCCCAGGTTTTCCAATGGTTTTCTCACTAATGTCAGCTCATGATGAAAATCCTGTAACTTTATATTGTATTACACAATGTAGATACTTCACGTATTATTATTATTATTATTATTGCCTTAGGTTATGAGTGGAACCCCAACCGATAGCTGCTGCTACCTTGACATTAGTGGTCGAGTTTGCATATCCCAATGACATAACAAGCTACACTGGTTGGAACTATTGTTCCTGTAGGTCCTACCATGCCAGGAGGCTTGTTAGGATAGGGATTAGACTATAAGCAGTTACCGGCATTATTATTATTATTTTACTATTTATTCCCTTGCGTTCCTAGTGGAACATAGGGATGGCTTCAACCAGAAATCTCCACTTTCTTCTATTTTCTGCCGTTCTCTTCAACTGGGTCCACGATAGACCACATTCTCTCATCTCTTCTTAATATGGTCTCCCCCAAGTCACCCTCGCACTGATGACCCACTCGACGTTTTCCAACGGGATTCCACTCGAGCACTGACCTGGCGTGCGATGTCATTCGGCGGCCTCCTCAATGTATGGCCAATCAATGCATCTCCACTTTTTCCTGCATATTTGTTAAGCGATCGGATCTTGCCTGTTGGTTTGTTCTCATAGTTTCTTGTTGCTTTTTCTTTCTGGCCATTTGATCTTCAGTATGGAGCCAGCGAAGGCAGCTGTTTATAAAGTTCTGCAACCTGTTGGAAATCATCTTTGTGACACGCTTGCCAAGTTTCTGACCTGTATAGAAGAACCGACTTCACATTGGTGTTGAAAATGCGAATCTTGTTCCTTATGCTGGCTGATTGCTAAAGGCGTATCTTGTCTTTCCGATTTTGGCTGGTTTTGACATCTTCGTCCGTTCCGCTGGCCTGTAGTTAAAACGATGCTTCTTGGCCAGATAAGTGGAGGAGGCAACCTCTGTTAAATCTCTCCCATTGATGGTGACTGGTGCTGGTTGTTTTTGTTGCTGTGGCGGTTCGTTGGTTATCTTCATCACCTCTGTCTTCTCTGTGTTCACTTGGAGTCCTTTTTCCACTGCCTCTTCAGCCAGTTTGTTGGTTTTCTCTTGCAAGTCTTCGAGTTTGTGTGATATTAGACAAATCATCCACTCGCGAAATCCGGATCCTCCAGAATCTTCTTATCTGTGTGTTGAAGTGTCTCTAGCGGTTTGAAAGATTTAGTGGTGTAGGGTTGCTAGCCCCACGCCCAACCCTTCCTCTTTACCCGGGCTTGGGACCGGCTAGAAAACTAGCGAGCTAGTTAACTAGGTGAGGTTAGTTATTGGCATAGTGTAAGAATTTTTCTGTTTTACACTATGCTGGTGGTCTGTCGGCGAAGTCGTACTGCTGGGGAACAGGGATGTAACAGCCACAGTAAGGTGTTTCCCTCCAGATGACCAGCATGCCAGCTATGCTGTCTGTATCCACTCTGGAGAGAGGCGGTTAGAAAAGGTCGACCCCAAAAATAGTACATATCGACTTACCCTACCTACGGTGGTCCGTAGGTAGGTCCATGTTGAAGGAATTCATGTCCCTTCTGAGATTCGAACCCGCGTCACCCAGTGCTATCTGCAGTCAGAAAGAGAGAGAGAGACAGATGTTACCACTGAGCTATTCGGGCTCTATTGAAAACGCAATTTATCCCAAAACTTTACTAAATCAGCTCACACATCTTTTCACTGGTTTTCATTTTTCAGTAGTAATGTAAGTAATTTAGATTCATTATTATAATATTATTATTATTCATTCTCTGCGGTCGTTTGCGGTTTTCCACAGTGTCACTTTCATTTAGCTTCACGTCGACTCAAAAACTCAAAAATTTCTTTCACAGAGTAGTTTCCATATCAACCCAACCCTTGTATACATCCAACCCATCACATTTTCCATTCGAAAAACTTAGCCACTTGAACGAATTGCTAACACATAGATATTCAATTCGGAATTATAAGGTGTGTTGTTTTTTTCAGGAATTTATGGATAGCTGGGAAAATATTGCTCTTAACACATTTATTTAATCCTACTCCAAAAATATCCTGGAGAAATGTGAATGACACTTTCACAGTGTTAAAAACAGAACATATCTCTCTCTAGCTTCTTGACACACATAAACTCACTAGTGGAGGGAATAAAATTCACATTTGAAGCGGAAAATGAACAAGGAGAATTAGCTATCATGTTAGATTGTAAAATAAAACGAATACAAGAAGGTAAACTGCACACTAGTGTTTATAGAAAACCAACGCATTCTAATAGATATTTAGACTTTAATTCATCTCATCCTTTAACTGTTAAGGCAGGCTTATTTAAGTGTTTAACAAACCGAGCAATGGAACTAAGTAGCACAAAAAAAGACCTAAATGATGAAATAAAACAGATAGAAGAATAACTGGCTGGTGTTGAATAACTATCCTATAAAATTCATTAGGAAGATTGAAAAAGGTCAAAATAAAAATAAAAAGAATTGTGAAACTAGTAATAATGACATAAATAAGAGAGAATATAAGTCATCTACAGTTATACCATATAAAGAGGGGACATCTGAGACCCTACGTAGGATTCTAAATAAAGCAGGAATTAGGGTGGCATTTAAACCTACAAACTCACTCAGGGACAAGCTCTGTAGGTTAAAGGACCCAGTGGACCCAATTAGACAAAATAATATAATTTACAAAATACCCTGCAATGACTGTGAGTTAGGTGGACTACATAGGTCAAACTAGTGGGTCAGGGGTAGTTAGATTGTCAGAACATAAGAATTTGGCTAAGGTAAGAATGGTTGACCCAGAGAAGATAAGTAATTTAGAAAACAGCTCAGCAATTGCAATGCATGCATTAGCACACAACCACACAATAGGGTGGGATAGGGTGAAAATTCTAAAAAGTAATCTAGGTAGTTGGAGAGCGAGAGAGGTTGATTACTGAGTCCTTGTTCATCGAGTGGATCTACACCCAACACATGAAATAGGAATGATTCATCACTCATACTCGAAATATGGAAGGTACTACTACCAATCAAATCAAGTGAGAATCAAGTGAAAAACAATGGAACTATATAAATGAATTTAGGAAGTCGTGTGAGTAGTACCTTGATATGATTATGAGCAGTAATAAATTGTGCTCGAAACGTCATCAGTAAACATTACTGTATAACAGCACTGTGAGACTTTATCAAAACAAAACTTACCCATAATGGAATTTCAGGAATTAGGTTGCTTACAGATTTGATTATGAGCTGACGTCAGCATTAGAGAACTATTGGAAAACCACTAGCAGGGATTACTGGATAATAGCTAGTTGTGGTTCGTCCCGTCGGGATTCGAACCCAGGATCTACCGGTTACAAAGGAGAGCTTGTAGATCATGTATGCGTAGTGCTTGATGGTTAACCAACTGAGTTTCAATGTAGAACACTGCACACTCCACGTAGCACATTCACCAGAACTATAATGAGCAGAAATGTAGGAGAAATAATATGGAAGATCAGACAGAGTAAATGTATCCGCGCTATCGAGGATGAATTTGAGTCATATTACCAATAGTTTCCAGCCATTGATTCTTAGAATCCCGAGGACTCCAGTCAAGCAGTCTACATCCCCGCCCCCCCCCTACGTGACTGGCTTTCATACCAAAAGTCACAGACTTCATGGATTGACGGTATTTTAACCAGCCCTAATTCTTCGGTGAAGTCTCTCCAAACTAAGAGAAGTCAGCTATTCAGAACTTCATGATTTCGCGTGGTTCCCTAATCCTGATGTCAGTTGGTGATATTACACTCAGGGCTAATTTAACTGATGTAACTTTTCAATAGTTGGTTTGTAAGGATTAGATTTGTGTTTCTTACGAGTTGATTACGGATTGATATGAGTTAGAGAACCATTGAAAACCAGCTGTGTGGGGGGAGTACTGGACAGCCAGCTGTTTCATCAGCCTAGTTTGGAAATCATCGTCAGTACTCACCCACCGGCATGGATCAAAAAAGCTCGAGCTGCTTTCGCTAACTTACACCATCTCTGGCGTAAGCGTGACATCCGGCTATCAACCAGGGGACGTGTGTACTGCTCAGAAGTTCGCTCCATCCTTCTCTATGGCTTCGAAACATGGCCAATACGAGTTGAAGACATGAAAAGGTTGTCTGTTTTTGATCATAGATGTTTACGATCTCTTTCTCACGTTAGTTGGTATAATAAGGTAAGTAATGTTGACGTTAGGCGTAGAGTGTTGGGCGAAGAGGGAAAATCAATCGACGAGGCTATAAAGTTACATAGATTGAGATGGTTAGGTCACGTGCTGCGCATGCCTAACCATCGCCTCCCCCGACGGACGGGCATTACTAGCTGATATAGGTACAGGTGTTGGAAAAGAGTAAGAGTGGTGGCCAAACAAAAACATGGCCTCATCAATCCATGAAATCCTTGACAGTTAAAGTGAGTCAGATAGGGAGGGAGATGCAGACTTCCGGGTTGGGGCCCATCCTCGGGACTCTAAGAATCAATGGTTGGAGACAAACAATAGGTGACATGGCTCAAAATCGTTGTCAATGGCTTACGCAGATGTATTCAGTCAGTCTCTGTAATCTTTCATATTCCTTTCTACCATTACTTATTCATTCTGTCTCACTCTTATACTTGTCAAAACTCTATTGATTCTCTTCCTTACTCATCTTCTTGTCTACCACCTTTGTGTGGTATTTGGAACGTGGAAACTCGAAGTGCTGCACTTCGGTTTCAAGTTCTATGTTGAATCCAGACAGATAGAGACAGACTCTCCCACCGCCATGCCAGGGTTTGAACCTAGAATCTTCCGGTTACAAGTCAAGCTAGCTCGTATATCATTCAGTCACTGGGAGCCGATCATCCAATGGCCAGTTAGTCGTCCATGAATCCTAACTGGTCACGACTTCTCACTAGAACTCACTCCACGGAACTCTGTCCTTTAGAGCAAGTCACTCACTAGCGAGTATCAGGCTAATTTTTTTTTAAGAGTTTGGTTTGTAAGGAATTAGATTTGTTTCATTTTACGAGTTGATGTAATGTCTAATGTATATCTCTTTTGTTTCTCTCTCTCCCTCTCCTGCTCCTCCTTCCCCCCCCCACCCTCACTAACCAGAATATCTTCCAGAACAGTTATATTTACTTACAAAATTAGAATCACTAAATGTGAGTAATAATCTTCTAGTGAATTTTATCAATCCAAGTGCTATTGTCAATCTTACTGAATTATCTTGTCTACGTACGGTGAATCTATCGAATAATTATTTAACTGAATTCCCTGTCGAATTGTGTATCTCATCAATACCAATTAATGTGATTGATCTTTCCAATAATAAAATAACTATAATACCAAATGCTATATCTGCTTTACAGGTAAGTTAATACTACTTTTTGTTGGCGTTAGTGTTGTTGCTGTTGTTGTTGTTGTTGACGAGTTGTCATCTGAGATGGTGACAACTAAGTGGTGTCCGTTTGGGCAGGGGATAGTCTTTTCTATTCAATTTCATCATAGCCTCCAAAGCCTCAGGATGGTCGGGGGTGGATGCCTTGCGCTGTGGGTTGGCCACTTCTCCTCACACCTCTTGAAATGCTCCCATATGACCGGGCGTCTTACATAGCCTCTCCTGAGGAAGTCCTACTCACTGCCTTCACGTGGCGGAGGTGTTTTTCACCAAAGTGAGAGGGCGAAAGCGGATGCCCGGCGCTCTTCACCGGGTTGACTGTCCATTGGATGACAGTCTAGGGGAGATGGCTAAACCCTGATTCCAAACCTCCAACGACTGGCGTATGAAGCTCACTGGAGCTCACCGGCAGACGTATGGACAAGGGCTTGTTGGATGTCCTGGATGTCTGGCCCCATTCAAAAAGGTGTATGAACCGAACTCCGGTCACCGGCTGCCAATGGATAGTGGACTCCCTACTCCACTCCTACTGCCTTGTAGGTCACACTTGGTTGTGTAAAGGCTAGAGCTGCACTCTCAAACAAAAGGCCGAGCGATTCCGGGGACATCACTCGTACCAAATTCCCATGAAACTTCATGAACTCTCTTACAAACGACTCTCACCATGCTACGGCGTTCCCGCAGATCACCGCGCCTGGACAGTGATGATTCGAGATGTTCATGAAGCCGGCTCATCCTCCCGTAGGAGATAGCCGCAGTAAAGTAAAGTAAGTAATTTCATCATAGATGTACACACTAATGGAATTAACCCTAACTGCTGACTTCAGCGACTCAAGGATTGACTTGTTACCAACCGAGGAATAATCTCCTCCTAGATGAGGTCGGTGGCGCAGCGGTTAGGACGCTCGCCGACCATGCATATGGTCGGGGGTTCCATCCCCGGCCACCGGCGCACTTCTTTACCTCGCTAAGCTAGTAATAGAACTGGCAAAGAGGGTAGGTTGGGCATGAGGCTGGCAACCCCATCCTGTAAAAAATAAACACCACTGCTACCGAAACTTCAAGCCTCTAGCTTGAAGCCCTATGTTCCACTGGGAACGTAAAGGAATAAAAAAAAGATGAGGTGAAGAAGTTGACAAAATGTAGAGTCTTCTGATGAACACCTTGAGCTGCAGTCTACGAATGTTTGGCATGCAGTTCTCTCCCGTAAAATGTAAGATGATGCTACAGCACTAGACTGGACTACACTGACTCCTAGCTTAGAAATAGGGAGTGAAGTGGTCGGTGGAGCGCGTTGACCGCTTCACTTATTTGGAAAGTTACATCAACCAGTGCCAATGGGTTGATCGCTAACGAAATTTCAGGACTACTTTCTCATAAGCCAGTTTATGCCGTCTTTGGCGTAGACGTGATATCCGGCTAGCTGTCGACCAAAGGGCGGGTGTACTGCTCAGCAGTCCGCTTCGTCCTCCTTTGTGGCCGGCTGTGAGACCTGGCCATTGAGAGTGGAAGACATGAAAAGGTCGGCTAGCTGTCTTTGATCATAGGTGCCTGTTTTCTATCTCCTGTGTGAAATGGTATAATAGGGTGAGCAGTATTGAGGTTAGGCGTTGGTCGAGTGCTAGTTAGTAAGGAGGGGAAATCAATCGAGGAGGCTGTGAAGTTACACCGATTGAGATGGTTAGGATATGTGTTACGTATGCCTAGTCATTGCCTTCCTCGACAAGGGGCAATGTTAGCTGACATAGGATCGGTGCAAAGTTCTATGTCGAAAGCAGACAGACAGACAGACATTTAATTAGGATAATGGTTTTGTATCTACCTCCAAGAAAACTTCCCAATTTCCCCGCATAGGAGTTTTTATAGTTAGGTTAAACTAACTTCTGCCATATAAATTCGTCGAGAGAAAACTGTATACGTCCACATGTTTCTTGACTCATTCACTGCTCTGATCCTCTTTTTTAGATAACTCACTCTAGGAACTTTCGAAGCTTGATTCCTATCATAATAATCATCTTCCTATCTTCCGACCTTACTTGGACATCTCATATCGTAACGATTTCTAAGAAAGTGTTCTGTCTAACCTACTACATTAAGAAACTAAGGCGATCTGGAATCACCCAACCTCTACTTTCACAATTTGTCAACTCTTGTATCTTACCTATTCTACTTTACTGCTCCCTGTTAGTCTTTCCTGGTCTACTGAAAAAGGACTACACCATCCTGAGAAGGATGTTGAAGGTAGTTAGTAGGACTAGTGGTGTAAAACTCAGTCAGCTCGTCACTACATTAGTTGATAGGCATTTGAATACATGCGAAAAATGGTCTTAAACCATACTCTCCGACCCCCAACACCCCCTCTATTCCCAACTCTCGCCTTGTATCTCATCAAGTAGAACCAGAAATCAGTATAAAATAATTTATGCTCGTACAGCCAAGTACAGGAACTCAACGACACCATACTTGGTCCGTGTTCTAAGTGACAGAGATAATGTTAAGCGGGAAACCTATGACTTGCTTTGTTGTTAATAACATAATTTTAGGCTCTTTTATTTCACTCTTATTTTGTACTCTATAGTAAACTCCTTCTTAAACATACTTAGCTACCTAAATTATTAACATTGGCTTACTTTTTTGTACTTCACTGTATTCCTTCTTTTGTGTATCTACTGGTTCCGACTATATTAGCACTATGAGTATTACAAAAATTGTCCTGTCATTAACCATCATGTAATTATTAGTTTTTGTGGTTGCTGTTTTTTCTTTTTGTTCGGCAATATTAACTGACAATCATTGGTTGTGAACGCCATTATCACCATCTTAAAATTTTGTATTATGCAGGATTACTCACACTACCATCACAAACACTGCATTAGACCTGACAACCCTGAAATGTTATTTTATGATTGTTTAGAGTTGTTTCAATCAAATTCACTGATCTTCTTGGCGATAAATATTCTTAAATATAGAAAATATCCCCATTTAGACATTTGGAAAACAGAAAGATTGAGCGAAGAAATATTTACTTTTCAATTAGATCCTCATCTCTGGCTCTACTCTAATATATATAGTATTTTTTACAATACACAACAATTTACCAAACAAGTGGTGATATGTTTGTTAACAATAATTAAAGTGTCAAAATGTCAATGGGTTGATAATTAACGCAGAAAATCAATAGACATTTAAAAAGTAGAAATGGATAGAATAAATTAATTTTACAAGGATAACACGTAATTAAAGATGAAGTGGTCAAAATAAAAATAAAATAATTTGGACAATTATAATTTAATAGGGGGAGGGGGCGACGTAGTCCTGTCTTGTAACGATGGCCACGGTAAGGAAAGTGGCTGTACAAATTTCTTCTGTACACATAGACTTGGTTTCTCCTGGTGGATTCCGATTGCTTCAGCTGTCTGTAGAAGACGAACTCGTAGAGCAGAGTTAGGATTAGTCGGAATACGATAAATAATTTTAAATGCAGTATGTTGTTCAGAAATGTTCAGAAATACGACGATGAAACTGCCTAACTGTACGCCCAATGTAGCTGGCTCCGCAGCTGCAGTCAAATTGGTAGACACACATAGAAGAGGTAAAATTAGGTAGTTTATCCTTATTTCTCGAACATAGAATAGAGGTGGTTTTGAAGAGACAACGTACTTCTGTTGCATAATAAGCTCTTTTAACTGCATTCTTCAAGCGCTGTGTTATGATTTCGCTGATGTCACCGAGGAACTGCAATTTTATGAACATTGGCTTTTTCGAAACTGTAGCAATACTGACTCTCCTTGGTGCTGAATTCAAATTCTTCTCAATAAATTTATCTGGATAACCATTTTTTCTAAGTAATTCTTTAATAATCTTAAGCTCCTCATTGAGGCAGTCGTCTTAAATATCATTTCATAACTTCTTGTATGACTATAGCTTTACTGTCACCATGCTTAATCACATCATAGCTTCCACTACCCAATACTAAGATATTAATATATGCTGTTTATTTTCCTTTGTACTTCTTAATATTTTTTCGCATTTTTTAAAATTATTTTTGTGTTTTTTTAATGTTGTTGTCTTTATATTTATTTTCTTGAAAATACTCCTTTTAAACGTTGGATAAAATTAGATGCAAATATTGTAGATATGTGCTGAAAATTCCACACTGTACCACTAGTACTGTTTCTGGAATAAAGCAGATTATTATGATTATCATTTGAGATCCTTGATCTGACAGACTTTTATTTTCTCCCCTCCCCTCCTTTTTTCATGTAGGCAATTGAGATCAATTTAAATCATAATCGTATCTCAGCTATCTCAAAGAATATAAGCCAATGTGAACGTTTAAAGGTGTTACGCTTGGAGAATAATTGTTTACGATTAGAGAATTTCCCGTGTGAATTGTTAACCGATTCACAAGTCTCACTGTTATGCGTTGAAGGAAATTCATTTCAAATGAAAAATTTTTATAATTTACCAGGATATTCACAAGTAAGTTTTTATTTTTGTTTGCTTTGTTTTTTTGTTTGTGGGATTTTCAATTTTTCAATATTTTTTTATCTACCATGTGTTTTTTTATAATACTGATATTAGTAGTATTAATATTATTTTTATTATTGTTCCCTTGGGTTCCTAGTGCAACATAGGGCTTCAACTGCACGTCTCCACTTGCTTCTGAATTCTGCTGTACTTTTCACCTGCATCCATGTTAGGCGATACTGTTTCAGCTCCTCTTCACACGATCTCCTCCATGTCACCCTTGCACTGACGTCCCACTCGCCTCTTCCCTTTCGGGTTCCACTCGAGCATTGGCCTGACGCGCGATGTCACCCAGCAGCCTCCCTTTAGCGACTGTCCAATCCATCTCCATATTTGTTGAGCGATTGCTTTTGTTTTGTTTGTGCACATAGTTTCTTGTTGGTGATTCTTTCCGGCCATCTAATCTTGAGTATAGAGCCAGTGAAGACAGTTATTGATAAAGGTCTGCAACACGTTGGAAATATTCTTTGTGACCCGCCAAGTTTCTGATCCCTATAGAAGAACTGACTGACTTGACGTTTGTATTGAAAATCCGAATTTTGTTGTTGATGCAGGCTGAGTGACGAAGATTTCCAGATTGGTTTCAGGTTGATGAATGTGTTTCTCGCCTTCCTGATTCTCGATTTGACATCCTCGTCCGTTCCTCCTGTCTGTAGTTGAGACATTGCTCCCTAGATCAGTGAAGTGAATGAAGTAACCTCTTTCAAATCCCTCCCGTTGATGGTGATTGGCGCTGGATGTTGCTGTTGTTGTTGTTGTTGGTTATTTTCATAACCTCCGTCTTGTCTATGTTCACCTGGAGTCCTGTCTTCACCAGCTGCTTCTTCGACCAGTTTGTCGGTTTTCGCTTGTAAGTATTCGATCTTGTGTGACATCGAACATAAATCATCCGCGAAATCCAGGTCTTCTAGATTCTTCACGTCGGTGCAGGATATCCGTGTCTTCTCGTTTCCCACTGTCCGACGCATAATCCAGTCCACCACAATTAGGAATATTATTAGATGTATCACACAGTCAGTGAAACAGTATTATTTACTGGATGACGTTTCGATATGCATGACGACATGTATGTCAAACATGCGCGCAGGATAATGACAACACCAACAATAAAGAATCTAAATCAACGGTAGTAATTTCATACAAGGGAGGAACCTCGGAAACCACCTTACGGCGGAGAATTCTTAACAAGGCAGGCAGGAATAAAAGTGGCTGGCATTCAAACCCACCCACAAACTCAATAAGAAATAAGCTTTATCGGTTAAAGGATCCTGTGGAATCTGCTTTCATGATTGTCAGGTTACATACATAGGTCAGAGTAGTAGAACAGGGTCAGTTAGACTAGCCGAGCATAAAAACCTAGCAGCAAAATCTAGATTATTTGACCCGAATAAGATAAGAAATCTAGAGAATAGTTCAGCTATAGCACTACACTACATGCAATTACACACACAACCAAACATGCAATGGGATGGGATAGGATGACAGTTTTAAAATCGAATGTAACAGGGTTGAGGGAGGGAGAGATTGATAACGGAAGCTTTGTTTATCGAATCAACTACAAATAGGTGTAATAGGAATGACTCAACACCTGTCCACCCGGATATTTGGAAAATTCTACTACCCCAACGATGACAAATAGGAGACGACAAAGAAAACTATAGAAATCAAGTTTTGAAGTCGTGTGATTATAATTGATATGATTATTAACAATAAATTTTGTTCGAAGCTTCGTCATCCAGTAAATAGTACTGTTTCACACAGTGATTATGCACCTAATAAACAAACTAAAATGGAATTACTTACTACCACAGTGCCCAAGTTTTACACATATATTAAAAATCTTGAATAGTTGGTTTGTAAGGATCAGATTTCTTTTTTTACGAATCGGTCACGGATTGATATCAGTTAGAGAACCATTGAAAACCAGCTGGGGAGGGGAGTACTGGACAGCCAGCTGTTTCATCAACCTAGTTTGGGAATCATCATCACTACGCACCCACCGCCACGCCAGGGTTCGAACCCAGAGTCTTCCAGTTACAAGTCATCTAGCTCGTATACTATTCAGCCACTGGGACCCAATCATCCAATGGCCAACCAGCCCTCCATGAATTCTAACTTCTACCAATTCGTGATGCATTTAGTGCGACCGGCACCAACCAATGTCATCGGTGGGACATCCATCCTCTATTCGAAACAATAATAATCATAATTATACAGAATGGAATTTTCAGCGCGGTTTTATACATGTTGCAACAATTTATCTCCTTTTATAAATATGTACATTCATAAAATTTAAAATAGTAGTAATAATGATGAAACCACAGAAAATTGAAGGTTGGAGGAGACATAATGAAGAATAAGTAGATAGTAGCATAGATTACACATGCAATAATAATAATAATAATAATCTTTGCTTATACTGACTTTGCAGTTCACTTATTGATTTAAAAAGTTTATAAGTTCTTTTCTGACATCTGACTCTCTTCATACAAAATCCCGTGCTAAATATGGTGGTATTATGGTGTGGTGTGATACAGACAGTGTGTTCCAACGGATTATGATTCTCGCATATCCCCACAGTTCAATACGGCATTGCCAATATTATATATATATATATATACTTTATGGATCAGAGACTTGGCGCGTCATGAAGAGCACTTCGAACAAATTACAGACTTTCATCAACATATCTGTCTTCGCTCTGTACTACTCAAGATCAGATGGCCGGCCAGAAAAGATCAGCAACAGGAAGGGACCTTTGGCAATAAACGAACCAACCCAGCAGGAACCATTCGTGCAACAAATATGCAGGGAGAAATGGAGGTGGATTGGTTGGCCATACTCTGAGAAAACAAACCATCAAGTGAGTGACATCACCCTCCAGGCCATGGCTCGAGGGAACCCAGACAAGAAGCGGCGTGTTGGTCGTCAGTGTGAGTGGGGTGACATGGAGGAGGTGATGTGAAGAGGAGATGAAAGCATGTGGTCAAACGTAGGGTCAGTTGAAAACATTGGGGGTGAACCGAACACAACGGAGACGTGCGGCTGAAGCCCTATGTTCCTCTAGGAATTAAAGGAAACAATTATATATATATATATATAAAACAGCGGTTTAATTAATGAAAAAGATACCTTAGCTCGCGTGTCTCACCTCCTGTTGTTACAGTATGGTAGAATGCTTATATCCAGTAGCTGTACGAGCATAAATTCTTCTGAAGTTTCTTCTGGTTTCACTCTCCGGAGAGAAGATACAAGGAAAAAGTTGCGAATAAGTGGAGAGGATGTTCGGATGTATCAGACAAGATAACTTAAGCCGATTGCTTACAAGAATTAAAATGCCTGTCGACAACAATGTCAGTTAGCTGAGTCAAAAAGGCACGCACACATCACTAACCGTATTTACAGTCTTCAGTGTTCTACGCGATATGACATAGTATTTTTTCTGAAAAGTCCACTAGGGAAGAATAAGGGCTTATTATCACCAATGATATTCCTAATTGTGGTGGACCGGATTATGCGTCAGACAGTGGGAAACGAGAAGACACGGATATCCTGGACCGATGTGAAGAATCTAGAAGACCTGGATTTCGCGGATGATTTATGTTCGATGTCACACAAGATCGAATACTTACAAGCGAAAACCGACAAACTGGTCGAAGAAGCAGCTGGTGAAGACAGGACTCCAGGTGAACATAGACAAGACGGAGGTTATGAAAATAACCAACAACAACAACAACAACAGCAACATCCAGCGCCAATCACCATCAACGGGAGGGATTTGAAAGAGGTTACTTCATTCACTTCACTGATCTAGGGAGCAATGTCTCAACTACAGACAGGAGGAACGGACGAGGATGTCAAATCGAGAATCAGGAAGGCGAGAAACACATTCATCAACCTGAAACCAATCTGGAAATCTTCGTCACTCAGCCTGCATCAACAACAAAATTCGGATTTTCAATACAAACGTCAAGTCAGTCAGTTCTTCTATAGGGATCAGAAACTTGGCGGGTCACAAAGAATATTTCCAACGTGTTGCAGACCTTTATCAATAACTGTCTTCACTGGCTCTATACTCAAGATTAGATGGCCGGAAAGAATCACCAACGAGAAACTATGTGCACAAACAAAACAAAAGCAATCGCTCAACAAATATGGAGATGGATTGGACAGTCGCTAAAGGGAGGCTGCTGGGTGACATCGCGCGTCAGGCCAATGCTCGAGTGGAACCCGAAAGGGAAGAGGCGAGTGGGACGTCAGTGCAAGGGTGACATGGAGGAGATCGTGTGAAGAAGAGTTGAAACAGTATGAATTAACATGGATGCAGGTGAAAAGTACAGCAGAAGACAGAAACAAGTGGAGACGTGCAGTTGAAGCCCTATGTTCCACTAGGAACCCAAGGGAACAATATTAATAATAATATATATATAAAGAAGAAAAATGTTCAGAATACACGAATTGGTAAGTTGTAAGAGAAGAGGTTGGTGTGTCGGTGGCATAGCGGTTAAGACGCTCGTCGACCATGCACATGGTCCGGGGTTCGATTCCCGGCCACCGACGCACTCCTTTACCTCGCTAAACCATAAATAAAGGTGGTAAAGAGGAAAGGTTGGGCCAGATGAGGCTAGCAACCCCATCCTGTAAAAATAATCACCACTGCTACAGAAACTTCAAGCCTCTAGTTTGAAGCCCTATGTTCCACTGAGGAACGTGAAGGAATAAAAAAAGAGAAGAGGTTGAGTGGATTATGCCAGGAGAAAGTCTCAACATCCTTATGTTGTGTAGTACTAAGTCAAAGGAAACACTTTTCTCAAAAATCAATAGGATATGAGACGATAATCAACAGAGAGAGAGAGAGATTCGAAGAGAAACTCTGATGTCGAGATAACGGGATATTCGATTCACTCCCTATCAGCACAGTGCTGTCAATATTATATACAGGAATCATGCAA